CCGTTTGACCGGTTCCAGGTCGGCCCTTTTTATGGCCGACCTCTCCAGGTTGAGGTCGGCAGCTGCTCTGCCGAGGTCAATAGTTATGCTGTGCAACCGAATGCACCATGCGTATGGTGCATACGATGCAAAACGACGTCGTTTTGACTAAAAACGCGCGTCCCACTTAAAAAAAAAAAATTCAGGTTCGATTCTCGGCAATAGCATTATTGTGGATATATAGTTATGAATTTCTGGATATATAGTTATAAATTTATGGATATTTAGTTCATTCATTGTGGATATTTAGTCCATTCATTGTAGATATTTACTTCATTCATTCACTGTGGATATGTAGTTATGAATTTCTGGATATATAGTTATGAATTTCTGGATATTTAGTTCATTCACTGTGGATATTTAGTTCATTCATTGTGGATTTTTACTTCATTCATTCATTGTGGATATATAGTTATGAATTTGTGGATATATAGTTATGAATTTATGGATATATAGTTATGAATTTATGGATATATAAAAATGCTATTGCCGGGAATCGAACCTGATTTCTTTTTTAAGTGGGACGCGCATTTTTTAACCAAAACGACGTCGTTTTGCATCGAATGCACCATGCGCATGGTGCATTCGGTTGCACAGCATAATTTGCGGGCCGAGGCCCTCCAAGCCGTGGTCTCCCAGGCCGAGGCCCCGTGGGTTGAGGCCCATAGGGCCGAGGCCCTATGGGTCGGGGCCCCGGGTCTTGCTCCACCTCTACAGGTCAGTTTGCTCCACCTCTCTAGGTCTTGCTCTACCTCTCCGAGTCGGTTCGCTCCGAGCATAATATATCCATCAGCGACAAATAACCAACTATTATATAGTGTGATGACACTTCTATTACGATTTCAAATAGGTGGTCACAAGATCGAACCCGGGGTGAAAGCATTGATTCTTTCCGTTGAAAAAGATTGAAAAAATATAGAACATATAATACCTTGTAAAGAATCACGAGTATTTCAAACGAAAAAAAAAAAAATGGCAAGTAAAATGAGATAATAAAGTATTTAATTTGAAATTGGTGAGATCCTAAAATACTGGGCAAAGCAATCGTTATATCGTGCACCAGGTGCATAATACATTGTGCGTCCCGCCCTATCCAAAACAACGTTCTTTTGTTAAGTTGTGTGGGGAGTTGACGCGATGGAGTTTATGTGTATTCTGTTATACAATTATGTACATTCTATTATACAATTATGTAGAGTTAAGAGTTTATGTGTATTATGTTAAGAGTTTATGTGTATTATGTATTATGTTATATTATGTGTATTATCCTTTCAAAAAAGACTGTGTATCCTGTTATACAATTATGTACATTCGAAACATGAGATTTTTTTTTTAAAGAAGTTAACAGCAGACACGGAAAACAAAATTTCCAAAAAAAAAAAAATACAAAACGACATCGTTTTGGACCAGGGCACATTGTACGTCATGGTGCACGATATAATTTGCCTAGGCAAAGCATTAAAATGCGCGTTAATAGGTTATGCATTATGCTTAAAGTAAAATTCTCAAAGTAAAAAAAAAAAATTAAAAAAATACAATATATTCTTGTCAAAAAAAATGTTAATGCATGTTAAAAAAAAAATACACAAACTGAGATTTAGATTAATTAAAATAAATTAAGTTGTATCATTAAGAAAATAATTTTATGATTTATTTTTCTCTAATAATGTATGTAGTTTTTTTTTTTTTTTTGAATGCTACTAGCTCTATTATATTGTAGTATCTGTTCATATACTTTCTCAACCTTACTAAAACACAAAGAGCTAATAATACCTCTACTGAGGCTCGAACTCACAACCTTTCAAATGGAAGTTCAACCCGGGTACCATTGGACCACATAGTCCTGGTAATAATGTATGTAGTTATCACATTAGGTTTCAACATATAGTTATAATAATATTATTTGGGGTTTCTAGAAAGACAGAAGAACACGCAAACAAACCACAACAAGAAAAGGAGCACCGTTATTATTTTTCAATTTCAAGATTTTATTTTGAAAAGTTTAGAGTTGTTTTTTTTTTTTTTTCATTTTAATATAATTGTTGATCTCCGCCGTCAGTTCCGTAAGCGAAACTCTATGTGCGGTTGGATTCTTATAAGAAGAAAATTCGATTTCTACAACGTTGTTCCGATCCTTGACCTGATAAAAGTATGCATGTTTTATCCGATCAAAGTTTTGGGTTGCCAATCCTATCATCTTAAAATATTATCATCTTTTTCTAATGTATATTATAATCATTTTATTCACTAAAATTGTAAAAACCATTTTAATTTGTATAATAGATAAACTTATAATGAATGAAAATTTTGTTGGGTTGGTATATCATAACCAAGCTGAGGTTATATATTGAGTTTTGTTTGCTTGGTTGGTAAACCAATTTTTTTTTTTTTTTTTATCTCACTAAAGTTCCGTTGAAATTATTAAAGTACATATTTTTTTTGAGTACTATTAACTCTATTATAAGGTAGTATATGTTCTATATTAAAATAGATATTTATTTGTATGTACTAAACTATACTATTTTACTATTCGTATATGCTGTGACATTGTTCCACATAGCATGAATTTTAAATATGTAATACTTTTTTTTATATGCCAACAAATATTATATTTTTATTAAAAAGTATTATATTTTTACTAGTTCTTATCAATGTACAAGTTATTCATTTAAGTGAAAATGTAATCCTTGTTAACTCAAAGAGAAAGTACTAAATTTTCTTTACAAAATATTACATATTTGAGATCCAGCCCACATAAGTTTTTGTGATTAATATATGACACATATACGAGAGTACATCACAAGTAACGTAATACTCCATATGTCCCATTTATTATTCATTGGTCAAACCAATTCTTTCTTATTTTTTATTTTCTTTAATAATTTTTAAATTTAATTTTTTTAAAAATCTTTAATAGTACATTTAATATAGTTTCTAAATATATGTAAATTTTATATACTAATACTAAACTTAATATTATGAAAAATAAAATTAAAAATAACTTCAGTCAAGTCTCGTTAACCAAACCAGACAAACAAAATAGGATAGAGGGAGTATTAAAAATAAATGTTGGCGAAAAATGCAATAATGGATAAACTTGTAGTATTTTTTTATAAAAAAAAAATAAATTATTTAATATTTGCAAACGCAATATGTAGAATTCAATGCAGAAAGTGTATACGATCGAGTTGGAAGTCCTATCATAATGAGACCTGGGGTTTTGCTTATATGACCAGTAATATAGTTTATGTAATTATCTTAAAAACGTGCTAATAATAAACGTAACGTCATAAAAGTTGGAGGGAATGAATGGACGGTGACAAGGATGAATTTTGTTGAAGGAGTTGGCAATCCTATCACGAATTCACGATAACTAAAACCTTCTTGACTTTAATTTGTACTTTCGTGAATGCGTATGATGCATGTTTTTGTTAATTTGTCCACGGAAAAGCGGGGTGGGGGTGGTGTTCTGGTCAAGAAAGAAGGGTCAAGAAATTCTTGAGACTGGTTTTGAATATCTAAGATAGAAGAGGGACATTTAGAATAATCAAACTTCATCAAGAGTAATATAATATAATCCAGGTATATATAATTAATTGAAAAATTTGAGGATTAAATGCAATTGCCAAATCCTTCAATGGTTTTAGTGAAATTATCCTGCAACAAATGCTTCTATTTTTATCTTTTCAATTTGTTTAATAAAGTAGTTCAAGTGATGACACTTTCAAAAAAAAATAAAAAATAGTTCAAGTAACAAAGGTGAAATTTGTCGTAGAAAATTAAAGATAGCTTCTATTTTTATCTTTTCAATTTGTTTAATAAAGTAGTTCAAGTGATGACACTTTCAAAAAAAAAATAAAAAATAGTTCAAGTAACAAAGGTGAAATTTGTCGTAGAAAATTAAAGATAGCTTAGGTATCTGAATGGACAATTCCACATTTTTTCACAAGAAAGGACTATAGCTAAATTGATTGCATGACCATTTTCATTCAAGTTGGTTTTTTTCATTTATGACACCCTTGAAGGGGCTTTAATCTGACTCTTTTATGACATGCATGTTGAGTATTGCTAGGCATAAATTTGTATAAAATCATAATTTGCTATCTTTATTGGGTAAAAACTTTGAGAGCCTAGGACATGTTAGTTTATTATTGGCTGAATTATTATCAAAATATTTAGATTATAATTTTTATATATATCTCCTTATTTTCTTGTGTAGTTCTTTCCTTTCTAATGTTGGTACCCTCATTTTGTATACGAAAAGAAGTTACCATATATTACGTATTAAGGTTTTAGAACTATATAAGGTGCATTATAAAATGTTTAGAGGATTGCAGAAAGAAAGTCGTATATCTCATGAAACCTAGTGCAAAAAGGGTACTCAAGGGTCTCAGTCTAACCTTGAAGAAGAGGTATGTTCTAACAGTTCAGGCATGAGTTTAAAGCAATGAGAGTTATGTTGCTCTGTGATCAAGATAAGAGTGGTCATGTGGCACAAGGGAGTCCTGTTCATTAGTTTTTAGCGGTACTTCTGAACAGTTTTAATGGATACCAGAGACTGATGATCTAGTTGTAACATTTCAAAAATTATCTCAATTTCGGAATTAATTCCTATGATTTTTTTTTAAGGAGCAAATTATTCTTTCATTAAAGCCCAATTTTTTGCTTAAATATTCTTAGAATAAAATTACTCTAAGCCCAATTTCCTAGTCTTATCTTATAAATATATATATCTATATGAATCTTTCTAAGTCTTAATAAAGTGGGCCTAGTTCTATAATATATAGTATATGATACATTTCCCTTACATTTCCAAAAGTCCGTTTTAATTCCCTTATTCTTATAAAGCTAGCCCATCTACACCTATGGCCCAACTATTCATCCTATAACATAATGTATATAAACTAGTATATATCTACACTTCCTAGCTTGAATGAAAACCTAAATCTCCCTTACATCTCTCTTCATCTTCACGCCACCTTCCCCTATCTCTCTCTCTCACCAACATTATCCTCCATCTTTCTATTCAAGAATCCAAGACCAAGACTTCATCTTTTTATCATTCAAAGCTAGGAAATGGTAAGATCTTGACTCCTACACCAATTTCCTTCTTTATTTCCTTACTCTTATGGATCTTCTTCTCTTTTTTTTTTTTTTTTTTTTTTTTTTTTTTTTTTTTTTTTGTGTTGGGTTTGGGGTCTTTAATGAAGATCATGTTGTGGATGGCATGCTAGAGTGATCTTGGAGGAGATTTGAGGTTTTTGCTTAGCTAAAAGATAACCCGGTGTCCATGAAAATCTATTTTAACTCTATAATGTGTATTCTTGGTAATCGTGTTGGATGTGAGCATAATCTTGTGTTTATGCTTGTTTTAGAGCTTGTATGATAGGTGTAAACTTGTGTTGTTGTGCCATTTCTTCTATCCAAAGTCATATTTGTTGTTAGTCTGAGTTTTTGTTGAGTTTGGAGTTGGATTTCATATTCTGGACATTTTTCCCGAGCTACTGCTTTGCTACGGGTTTTGACCTAGCGGGGGCTTCAGGCGGGCACTGGCACACCCACCGAAACCACCCGCTAGGCCAAGAAGGGGGTTCCGGCGGGTACTAGAGAACCCGCCGAAACCACCCACTGGTACCCACGGGGACGTTTGGCAGGTTCTTCTGTACCCGCCCAAACCACCCTCTGGTACGGTGTTGTTTGGCTTCTTAAATTCTTTTGTTGCCTCCCGCGTATTCATGAGTATTTGTTGATGTTACGTAGGTCTAGAGCGGTGTATTATGAGCCTATTGATTAGGATTTGAGTCTTTGATTCGTGGTTAAGATCCAACCTTTATGTTCGTTGGATTATTGTTGAATTCTATGTTGTCGTATGAACCCTTGCGAATATTCTTTGGCTTGTGTACTAGTAACGTTTGTTCCTTGATGCTAGTATGATTTCTTGTGATAGCCTATGCTTGATTCTTGATTGGGTTGATAACTTGAGCCAATCTATTCGTTATGACACTTCATCGAAATTCTTTGATATCGAACTATTGCCTTTGGAATATCTTCCTTGTATCTCTTTCTTGAAACCCGGCCCGTTGATATTGAACTATCATTGTGAGCTTGTAACTTTGTTGTATCTTGTCCGTGAGAATCCCTTGATTTGAGCTATTGATTGAGCTTATTCGTTGTTGAATTCATTTCTTGTGGAATCTATTCCTTTGCTTTGTCTCTTGAGATTCCTTCGTTGAATTGAACCTTTGTTGAGATTGTTATGCTAGCACAGTGGACAGTGTGGGGACTTATTTGTTATGTGATTGGCGAGCCTCTGGCTCTGTTTGCAATAGGTCATGTTGGTGTGGGAATCCCTTGACAGGTCAGTGGTGTGGAAAGCCCCGATCAACCATTGCGAACTGATCCAGTAGTGTGGAAAGCTCTGGGTTGTTGTTTAGATTATTGATTTGCGGGCAACCTGGTAGAAACGTATCCCGGTAGTCAGAGATAGTAGCTAACCCGTTGGGCTTGGAATCCCAATAGGGGGCGTATACACTTAAAGTTGCTAGATCTGTTTCCACTGGACTTTGATTGATTGGTCACTTGGTGACATTGATTGGTGTCTGGGAGCCCTCCACACTGATCCACAGGTATTCGAGTCACTGAGGTTGACTCCGCGGTATTTGTTTGATGATGGTGTCCTTGGTGGACTTGGAACCTTATACTACTGTTGATTGTGTGATTATATTGAGAATTGATCCATGCCTGATTACTGTGATTGTTCTATCCCTCTTATCGTTCATGATCCGTTATCGTTATCTCGTTGAATCGGTCTCTTTATTGATATCCTTGTGGTATAATGTCGTGTGTTGAGTATATCTCTTGTATTGGTCTGGTCTTGATTCCATTCCTTATGATTTACTAAATTAGAGTTGATTAGCGAAATATATATGTATTCCCAAGTCTCAAAACTATTTCAAAGTATTAAATGTATATCTACGTATCTTTACACATTGGAGTGGGGTTACTTAGCATAATCGCTAATGGTTTTAAACTGTTTTCAGGTATGGAGTAGTCAACTTATGAGAGCGCGATAGTTGGAGTCTACTCTCCACCTTTAGCTAGTTCCTTTAGTTAGTTTGTTGTTTGGCCTATGAGTCCTATGATAGTTTATGATGCGTAAACAGTTTAAGACTAGTTTCCTATTTAGTATGACTTTTGTTTGTTGAGGATTTGACTAGCATGTGCATTTAGGTTGTGATAGCCTAGATGTGGCATAGCATTCCCGTTGAATTGATTTAGCTTCCGCACTTTATTTATAGCAGTTAGACTTTGTTTACCTATCTTTGCCCAGTTAATGCTTTAAGTTGTGTTTAGGATCGGGGGTGTTACACTAGTTGTATAAGTTTTTGTGTCATTGTTCTTACTTTTGCTAAGTAAATTGATTTTGATTTGGGCTTGTGCCCCGTGGATTCAACCTCGTTAACAATTTTTGGTTGGAGATTTTTAATTTGTACTCGACTATGACATTCGATACCCATCATATCTACATGTTTTATTTGTTTGCCTACTTTTGTTATCCTACCATTGCATCTAGGTGTAGGTTGTATTGTACCTCCTTATTGCATCTAGATGTTGTTCTCACATTGTTGGATCTCCTTATTACATCTAGATGTGGTCAAAGTACCTATGAAGTCTCTGTACTATAGTACGGTGTTTTGTTCAATTTAGTACTTGTATCTTTATTCTGTTCAATTTAATCCCTCTACTTTAAAAAGTGATAAAACTAAGGACAATTGTCCAAATCTCATTACGAACATGGTCGTAATTATTTATTTTGGACATACTAATTTAATATATTGGTGGTAGAAATAATTTTTTTTAAATATTTATAAAGTAATATATGAGTATGAATATAAATATCATCAGCGGCACGTAACCTATATTAAAGATAATATTAACATTGTTAACTATTGTCCTTAATTGCACCACTTTTGAAAGTACAGAGATTAATTGAACAAAATAAAAATATAAGGACTAAATTGAACAAAACGCTATAGTACAGGAACCTCATAGGTACTTTAACCTCTAGATGTTGTGACGTATTGAAAATCATATTTAATCAAATTAATTGCCCGTGAGAGTTATACTTTGAATTTTAAATTCAAATTTTATTTCAAATGTTTTAATGTCATAATTATAATGAATTCCTAATTCCATAAATATGTACTTTGTGTTGAGTAGAATATTATGCACGTACACCAAAAACTATGATTTTTCTTCCCTACATACTCTCTCAAAAATTCTTCCAATACTTCCTCTAAATTTCAAAGTATTCGCTTTTTGTTCAAGTTCGACAGAACAATTATATTTGAATGCTCAAATATTTTCATTAGCAATTCATTATATTGTATCATAAAAAATGGATGTTTCAACGCTCCTAACACTCTCGAAAAGATGTTAATCAATTTTAAGAAAATTATGTGTTATACACGCTTTAAATTTTTCGTGTTATTACCATTGCTGGAATTTGATAATATTATTTTGAATTATTAAAATTCTCTCTATGACCTAACAAATACTATGTACTGTGCATGCTTGGTAGTCAAGAAAGTCTTGAGACTGCTTTTGAATATTAAGATTTAGGGGCATTTAAAAAAAAAAAAAAAATTGAAAGAAATAGAAGAGCATTTAGATCAATCAAACTTCATCGAAGGTGTAATTAATTGAAAATTTTGAGGATTCAAATGCAACTGTCAAATCCTTAGAGAGTTTTAAGTGAAATTTTTTGTAAAATCATAGAGAATATAATGTGAAAACAGAGAGATCAGGGAGAGAAGAAGAAGTTGAACACAGAAACTCAGAACCGTATTCTCATTATGTAATCGTTAATCTACACATACACACACACATACATGTATATTATGGGAAAACGGTAGAAATCATGGAAGCGGGAAATCAGGATAATAGCCACAAAGCATTATATTTACAACAATCTGGACTATAAAAATTCAGTGGGAAAAACGTATTTGAGGAAAATAGTACATAATATATGTGTATTTATGTGTTGTACTAGTTGTCTCGTTACAAAATTTTTAATTAAAAAAATAACATCAAAACTCAATCAAAAGAAAAAGAGTACATCTGTTGGTCTTTAGGGTCCAATCTTCGAAATTAATTCATGTAAATTAAATCTGATTGATAATACAATGTCACTCCCGTGAAGATAACAATCTTCAATGCATATACGTTCTAATATAATAAAAACATTATTCCCAGATAAGTGTAGAAAAAAGATATAGTACACTTTTTAAAATTGTCACTAGAGTTAACATTCTATCATAATATCAGATTATTGGCTTAAAGTAGTTGTTAAAGGGGCTAAGATTGAGTTTCTATCCAATAACGATAATAAATGAGTTGTGCTAGAAATTATGTTTAATAGATTTTGGTAGGGTGGTAATGCTAAGCAAACTATATATATGAATCTTATTGGACCCATTGGTGCGTTACTCCCCCTGGATCAATCAATCACTATGTATTTAATGCACAAATATAAGTAACACAATTCTTTTCCCAAAGCAGTCCTTATAAGTAACACAATTCTTTTCCCAAAGCAGTCCCATTGGTGTGTTACTTATATTTGTGCATTAAATACATAGTGAAATATTTCATTTGTGATGTTATGGGGAATAGTGGATTAAGGGGATTACACCATCTATCAATCATTATAAAAACTTTCTCTCATACCAGAATGTTATGGATGAATAAAAGATGAGTTGCTGAGTGAATAGATCGAAGCTAAGATGATTCTCATATCAGAATGTCACGAGTTTGATTCTTGTCAACCCCACTTAAACTTGTTGCACAAGGTATTTCTAGTGCAGTAGTTTACTTCTCCTGTGTGATTTGCTGTAATTATTACACATAATTAAAATTTACTCAACATATATACACTATCAGATAGTGATTGTGAGTTTTCCATTACCCAACAAGAATGATCTTTTTTCAAAAAATTAAAATCTTTTTATTCAAAATACAAATTGGTTGATATTACAAAATTTACTGTGATACATAAGAATTAACTACCAGGCCATCCACTAAGAAATGTGATAGGGAATATATCCCGATTTTGACTCTATATACATCCGTACGTGCTCTAGTTTTGTAGTCAGGTTAGTGTCAAACGGTTCGAGTCACGGTCAAAGTCATTGAGTCAGCTCTTGGGCCTATATATAGGGCATTAACCCTTTATTGCAGGGGACTTTTTCTTTTGGACTCTCTCTCTATAACACTTGAGAGATTTCCCTGTATACTTTCCCTCTACAACATATAATAACAACAATGAATAACAAAGCCTTTTGAGCTAAATTCTGGCAAATTATGCTGTGTATCCGTGTGCACCATGCATGGTGCACAGGATGCAAAAACGACGTCATTTTACATAAATAAAAAAAATTATTTTTCATTGTTGTTAGTTACGTAAACATATGTTCATAATTTTATAATTTCACATTCTGAATTTATAGTTATGAAATTATGGATGTGTAGTTATGCAATTCTGGATTTATAGTTATGATGTTATGGATGTGTAATTATGCTTGCAATTCTGAATGTATAGTTATGAAGTTATGGATGTGTAGTTATGCAATTCTGAATGTATAGTTATGAAGTTATGGATGTGTAGTTATGCATGCAATTCTGAATGTATAGTTATAAAGTTATGGATGTGCAGTTATGCAATTCTGGATTTATAGTTATGAAGTTATGAATGTGTAGTTATGCAATTCTGAATGTAAAGTTATGAAGTTATGGATGTGTAGTTATGCAATTCTGGATTTATAGTTATGAAGTTATGGATGTGTAGTTATGCAATTCTGGATGTATAGTTATGAAGTTATGGATGTCTAGTTATGCAATTTTGGATTTATCGTTATGAAATTATGGATGTGTAGTTATGCAATTTTGGATGTATAGTTATAAAGTTATGGATGCGTAGTTATGTAATTTTGATTTTTTTTTTTAAGTCGGACGTCAAAACGATGTCGTTTTGCAACCGTGTGCACCATAACACTCCCTAAATTTTCCTATCTACTTTCGATTCTCTATACGTTATGTACATGTTTTATACATAGAAAGTGCATTGAGGGAATTAACACCATAAAAATGTATAGTCGATAAGAAAGATCAGCAAAGTCACGCAGCCGGCCATCATCACGTTTTTGCTCCATAGGTAATAAATGGGTAGCAAAGTGAGTATCATATTTATCCACAACTGTTGTCTTCAATTATATTCCGTGTATAGTATGTGTAGCTCAATATTGATTTCAGTAAAAGTTAAGGTTGTCCTCGCAGCTCAACTGGTCGTAAATGTCAAATTTATCATAAGAGATTAATGATCGAGTCTTAAAATGAGGGGCTCCTTGTACGCAATTCAATTCTTGTCAACACTCTCTATCAAGTCCGCAAAGAGTCTTCCTAGTACGATTTGTCTCATGTGTGGTTTACGAACTATTACACAGAAGTGAAGTTTAACTAATACACACTTTCAGATCAGATACTAACTATGGGTTCCCCATTTCCCTTGTCACCCAAAAAAAATAAAAAAGTATTAGATTTGTTAGCCTTGTGATTAATGCATGTTTAATCAAAGTGATGAAATAAGTTGGTAGGAACCAATTACAACGAAGGGAGTTGCAATACAAAGGATTTTGACTATATTAGGCCTATATTTTGGCTTATGAATTACTACTATTTGGTATTAAGGCTTTTCACATCATTCATCCTATATTTTTGGGGATAAAATTGTTTTAAACAAAATTTTAAGGTTGCTGGTTTATATCTTGTATTTTCTTTTTCTTTCTTTTTATTTTTTGAAACTTAAAATTTAATTGTAGATGGTTGATGGTTTTTAATGATGAACTGAGACACCTGTAAAATCGGGTTATATTTATTATTTAGTAATGGGTACGAAAAGTAAGTTGGATTGATACAACTCAATACCTTTAAAATAATTTAAATGGGCTACAAGTATACTGAATAAACAAAGGAGATAAATTTAGTCCAAGTGGCCCAACTACCAAGCCCAACTAGCAGACCGTAGAAAATAATTAATGTACTGAGTCGTTGACTTAGGGAGAAGTCAAGAGAAAAGAAGAGTGTTGATGATGATCGATTAAAACGAAACACCTCGCCTTTTATACTACTCCCAATGTCACATGTCGCTTACAAGTGCGCGGATCACAATGCTTCGTCTTCCTCCGCTATACGCGTGTCCCACTAGGTGTATCATGTATGTCGTGTTACCCACCAAACATTCCCGTGCACGCTACGTCGTAGAGCAAGTCCGGAGTCCCTGCAAATCACTCGAGTGATCTGCCCTCGCTGACCGAACTAAGTCAGGGCCCTTTGGCCCTCAACGGAAGGCCAAAGCGACCCGACGAGGGGCGAAAAGGCTCGGGGACAGTGGCCCCG